TTGTTTAGCACGTTCAAGTGCAGGTAATGCATGTGCTTGTTGTTCAGGTGTTAAATAAGGAATGATTTGATGTAATAATGCTATTAAACGTTTTGTTATTTCTGATTGTTTATGCATTTCATATGATAAACGATATGCCATTTCATAATAAAGACAATATTGTCTTTGTACTTCATTTTTTTCTGCAGTTAATTTTTCACATTCAATACGTAATTGTGCTCTTTCACCTTGCATATGTGTAAATTCTTTTTCTAATCGATCACATACATCATTAACACTGAATTCATATCCACTACCTGCACCTGTAGTGGAACGATTATTACTACTACTGTTAGTAAACATTTTTCCTATTTTCAGAAAACAAGAAAAAAAAAATATGATGAGCAATGAATAAATTCATTCTAACATACTTTTAGATCATAATTTTTTATTTAAAAAAAATTGAAATTCTTTTATTTGAATAAAGATAAAATAAAAAATTTGAACGAAAAATTGAAATATGATAATCTAGAATGTCCGATAATAAAACAAAAGAAACATAAATTGATCAATCAATATATATATATAATATGTCCGTCCGTATCGACGAACGGAGCAATCATATAGAAGCTGACAGTGGCCATTTTTATGTATTGATTGATGTCTGACAGAGGAGGATAATCTAGACAGTTTTAAATGCATAAATGAATAGATTTTAACAAATATCATTGGTTAATATAAAAGACCATTGATAAAAATCTAATTGAACTTCTGCATTATTTATTTCTATTCTTTATATTTGTTTTCATTCGTTCGTTCATTTGTGTAATAGATCTTGGCACGTATTTTACCTTTACATAACTGCACACTTTAATCGATGGTGAACGACGATGAAACTTTGGCACCAACTATTGTCAAAGTGCCGTAAGTAATCTTTCTTTTCATGATTATTTTGATAGAAAGTAATAAAAAAAAAAAAAAAGAAGAGAGATCAATTTCATTTTTAAATAGATAATAATTAAAAAAAAAAAGTTTAATTGAAAAATGAAATGAAATTGTTTTTTTGTTCACATTTTTTTTAATCATAATTAGGTCACCAAAATCAGAATTAAAGTCATCTTCATTATCATATAGTTGGAATTTTGGTAAATTATCCCGAGTACGTGCTGAACAGTTATTAATTGATGAACTTGTTGGAACATTTCTTATACGCGAAAGTGAACATTATCCAGGAGATTTAACATTATCCATAAAAGATGATTCGAAAATTCAACACTATAGAGTTAAACTTGATTCAATACGACATACATATACAGTTGATGATGAAATATTCTTTCCTGATCTTCGTTTACTTGTTGAGGTTTGAATGCATTTTTTTATTTTTTGAAAAAATTCTTTTTATTTTCTTTAAAAAAATAGCATTATGAACTTGATGCTGATGGATTATGTTGTCGCTTAGAAAAAGCATTGAATAATAAACAAGATACAGTTGATTCAATTAAAGTTGGAGGAACAGTTCAACAACAACAACAACAACTGCCACCACCAGTAGTTGTTGTTTCATGTCAAACATCATCAACAATTGATTATAGAGAACTTCATGTTGGAAAACTTATTGGATCAGGAGAATTTGCTGGTAAATTTTATTTTGTATTTTGAGATATTATTATTTGTTTTTTTGATAAAACTTCTTTCTATTCTTTTTTTTTTTTTTGTTATTATTCTGTATTACATCCATTTTGTGTCTAATGTATCATATTTACAAGAATGAAGTTTATTCTAATATAGCATAAGACTGAGATTAATTTGCTGTAATCAATAATCTATTCATTGATTATTATTACGTAAGAGTTACTTAACAGAATGTTCTATGACTTGATCGTTTCTCATCTTGGCTTATGTAGAATTGTATAGATGACTGGAGATTTTTAATCAAAAATTAAAATAGTTTTAAAAACAAATTAAACAATCATAGAATTCTATCTATTAGGTATTTTATAACATTGATTAATAATACTGAATAATATAAAATCTTCATAGTGATCAGTCTTATATTATATTGTGATAAATAGTATCTTTATAATTGTAATTTTTGACAAAGCATGGCTAAAACGTAACATAAAAAGAAGGAAGAAAAGTGAAATATTGTCGATGGATATATAATTAACTATTTTTAATTAATTTGTTTTTATAGAGGTTTATGAAGGTACATACAGAAAAGTTCGTGTTGCTATTAAAGTACTAAAAGAAGCAACTTCAGCAGCTCTTTTTCGTCATGAAGCGGATATAATGAGGTATATATATATATATTTTTTTTTTATTAATTAATTTAATTTTTTTTTGTCAAAAATATATTCTTTTTAGTTCATTAAAACATCCGAATTTAGTTAATTTTTTGGGTGTAGCACAAAAACCAGATAATACTATTTATATAGTTACAGAATTTATGGCTAAAGGTTCACTTCTTCATTATTTAACAACACGTGGTCGATCAGTTATTTCTCAAAAAGATTTACTTGGTTTTGCAATGTAAATTTCATAATAAAATTTTCTTATAAATAATAATTCAAGGTTTTTTTTTTTTTTCGCTTTATGTTTAGTGATACATGTGAAGGTTTAACTTATTTAGAAGAAAATCATATTGTACATCGTGATGTTGCTGCAAGCAATGTATTAATTGCTGATGATAATACAGCAAAAGTAGCTGATTTTGGTTTAGCAAAATTTGTTGAAACAACAGGAAAAGAAAATGGAAATAAAGATTCAAATGGAAATATAATAACAACAGAAAAAATAAAATGTCGAACAAAATGGACAGCACCAGAAGCACTTGAATCAAAAGTAAATAACAAAATACAAAATTTAATATTATTTTGTGTTGTTTTTTTTTTTTGTAGAGATATACACATAAAAGTGATATGTGGTCATTTGGTATTCTTGTTTGGGAAATATTCTCTTATGGACGATGTCCCTATCCTCGTATTGTAAGTTTTCTGTTTAATTGAAAAAATAAAACAACAAATTTATAGTTTTTATATTATTTAGCCTGCTAATGATGTATTGTTAAATTTAAAACAAGGTCATCGAATGGAACCACCAGATGGTTGTCCACAAGAAGTAGGTGATATTATGCGTCAAGCTTGGCTAGCTGATCCTGATCGGCGACCATCATTTAGCCAAGTACTCGAACGACTTAAACGTATAAATTCTTCCATAATGTCTTCCTGATTTGTATGATTCTTTTTTTTTTTTGTGTTTTCATTCTTTACCTTTTTTTTGCTTGTTTGATAATCCATCCAATGTAATTTCTACACAAAACTGATTATTCATCGCAATTTATATGTATACATATATCAATAGGTGCGTTTAGTTTTGTGCAAAATTGACGAACGAAAATGTCCGGGTGTCTTATTGAATTCAACTTTCGAATGGTAATAATCATGTGTTTGTGTTGTTTTTCTTTCTATGTCTGTATGTTCTTTTCTTATCTTTGTACATCTGAAAGATTTAAAAAATCATTAAAAACGAAACAAAATAAAATGACAAAATTGTGTCTGTTTTTTCAATTTTGATATGTGCATTGTTTTTTTGTTGATAGTTCGAAAAATTTATTGTTTTTTTTTTTTTTTGTTTTCTCTTTTGAAAGTGAAAATATGTGAATCAAAAGAAAAAGAAATTAAGAGTGAAATCTTAATGTTATTGTTGTTGTTGTTGTTTCTGTCCTTGTTCTTTTCTTCTTCTTGTCTATTAACACTAACAGATGCCACTAAAATCACATTAGTAATTTGACAATAAACCATGCAACTGATATCAGATTAAATAATTTGTATTCATCAAATATTTAAGTTCTTTTTAGTTTTTAATATAGATATTCAGTGCAAGAAAAAAAGATCTATAGTTAAATTGTGAGTTGAGTAACCAGTTAATATAAATGTCATCGAAAAATGATCGATTCTAAATCATGCAATTCGATTAGGACCGATATGCAAATACTCTTAAAAAACATTGATGATTGCTTCAAGCTAAATATGACTATCTAATTTTTGTTTTTTTTCGGAGATATATTTTCCAAACGATCGGACTGATTAATAAAAGATGTTATCTGTTTTTGCTCGAGAGGAACATAAGATGTTTATTGATGATTGTGACATATCTAAGAGATGTTTGGTAGATAATATCAGAAACCACAATCATAAGAAAAATTTCTATCAAAATGTTTATTTTATAAATATTTTTTTATCATTAACAACGATCATAATTAGTTGTTTAAAAGATTGTTCTATAAAAGAATTCTAAATGATTATTAAAGTTATAATAATTTCTTTTATATTTTAACTAATCTTCACAATATTTGATAAAATGATAATTTACTGATTTTCATATGTCTTCAAATATGATATTGATTTTTGTAATGATCTAATGAAATCATAGATTCTATATTCTTATTAGGGTTTTTGTTGATTATTTCAAATGAGTGATTGAGTCAAACAGCAACTGAAGAAACAAGAACTTTCATTGGCTTTTTTGAAAATAATATTTTTGCAACACTTATTGTGATAAAGTTCAAAATAAAATTACGAGTTATTAGAACAACGGTTTGTTGTTTCATATCTATTTATCAATATGTATCAGCTGTACCTTATTACGATCATATTTATTAAATGTTATTCTAAAGAATTCCATTGAACACACATGTAAAAAAACAGAATCTATTTATCCGAGTCCTTTTTACCTAATCACATACTTTTTTCTATATTGAATATAGAAAAATAATAATAAATATTTCATTTTAGTAAATTATCGGCATCTATTATCGATTCAGTTTTTATCAGTTATATTTGTGAATGTGGTATTAAACTACCTACCACTATTTCACCTTTACTGACATGAGACACTTTATCACAGATAAAAAATCGATTCCTTTGTTTTAAATAAGTGAAAGAAAAAAAAAGCAAAACAATCGATTAAGGTTTGTATAAAGAAACCGATTTCATAATATTATATTATTCACTGACAAATAAATGGATCGGTCATATTTCTACAATGTGATTCATTTAAGTTTATCATTTTTTTTTATTTTTATGTCTTATGGTATTACACAAACATTTCAAACATCATCAGATTATGCTAAAGATGGTGCATTTGCAGTAGGAATCATTTATTTGGTATTTTGTTTAAGCAATTTAGCTTTATCATCATATATAACTCGACGATTAGGTGCACGATTAACATTAATTTTTTCAAGTCTAACATATGTATTATTTATTGCTTGTAATATAAAATATAATAGATGGCTGTTATATATATGTGCATTTTTAGTTGGTTTTGGTGCAGCTTTATTATGGGCAGCTCAAGGTGTTTATGTTACAATATCAACAAATAAACATGAAGAAATAAATAATTTGGTATCATCATCAACAAGAGGATTTATGAATGGTATGTTTTTTGGTATAGTTCAATTAAACCATATCATTGGAAATTTGCTCGTTTCGTTCTTATTTGGTTTAAAGTTTGATCAATGGATTATATTTACAATAATGACAAGTATTGCTGGATTAGGAACATTCAGCTTAATTTTTCTTCGACCTATAAAAATACCAAAAGTTGAAAGTAATTCATTGATTATTTTGTATTATATAAATAATATATTATTTCATATTTATTAGAACAAGAATCGTTTCTATCGAGTTTATCAATATTTTTGGATATTCATTTTCTTTTACTTATTCCAACGATGTGTTATAGTGGACTATCTCAAGGATTCATTTTTGCTACTGTACCTCCATTGATTATTGATAAAAGTCGGAAATATCTAATGTTTGCTGTATTTGGTATTAGTAGTACTATTAATTATATCATTTTTGGAAAATTAAATGATTTAATTGGTCGTCGTCTTCTTATTTTTGCTATTGGTGCACTTACTCATATGATTGTTTTCGGACTTTTATTAATTGTATGGAAACCACCATTAGATCAAAGTCGTACTGAGATATTTGTTATATTGCTTATTGGTTTAAGTATCGGTGATGCTATATTTTGGACACTATTATATTCTATCATAGCCACCTTCTATGGAAAAACACGACCAACAGATGCTTTTGCATGTTTAAAATTATTTCAATCAGGATTTATGGCTATAGCTTTTGTTGAACAAGTTTATCTTCCAATTTCTATACAAGTCTTATGTCTAATTGTTTGTTTGTCATTGACTCTTATTACACTTATTTATGAACATTATGCTGTTATATCATTAGATACAGGCAAAACAAAACTATCAATACAAAATAAAAATAAAAACGAAACTGAAGCTGACATAGAAGTACCATTAGTTTTAACGACATTATTGAATGAATTATGAATAATGGCACAACGAAAACTATGATTTAGGAATGATAAGCGTATACATATATTCAGCAAAATTCGAACAAACAAGATTAGAATTCTATCATTACTCTTCTTGTTTATCTTTTCATTTGAAATTTCAAATAAATTTTATTTTTATGTTATATCGTTGTTCTATTTTTCGAAAATGAAAAAGAAATTCGATGATACAAGGTTGACTACAAAAGTGTTCATAAAAAACGGAATGGACCGTCCATAGAATACTAATCAACAATTCTATTTAAATACTCGTTATCTTTGTGCACACAATAGAAGTATTAGATAATTAATTAAACAAAATCAGAGCATTGTATCATGAAGATTGGACAAACACTAATCAGATTAGAAATAATAATTAAATGTCAAATAGAAGAGAGTTAATGTCAATGATACATGATCTTATATTAGAGAATGGTCCATTTTGAGATGAATAATACGCTGTAATAAAGTGAAAGTTAAGTGCTGAAGTCTTAAGACAGACGATAAATTTAATAGAAGTTTCCTGGATACTCAAAGTTTTAAAGAAAATAACAAACATAATCTGTTTTTGAGTTGAAATAATGATTGGTATATAATAGTAGAATGATCAAATTACACGAATATAATGATTAGTTATTAAATAATCAACTGTTCAATGTTTAAAACGTTTTTCATGAGGATTTGAAAATGATATACTACCTTTTTCTTTTGAGAAGGATTTTAGGAATGATTAAGTTGAAAATAGAATGCATCATTCAATTTATTAACATCTGGTTTTCTCTTGTTTGAATATAGAATACAACGAATTCTAAAGAATGGATATTTCTTTAATTAAAGCTTTTATAGTAGACCATTTTGATTGCTTTGAAACAAGAACATATATAGCAGAATAATGAAATATAAAGATAGAAATAATGTTTCACAAATTGATTGTGTCAATCATCAATTAAAAGAAATATCGAGTTTCTAAGTTTTCAAAATACTTCATTAGAGAAGAATTAATATCAACTTTCTATTAAAGCTCATCAAGAACTAAATGAGAAAATGCTCATCCTCTTAGATTAAAATTCGATTGAGAAACATGAAAACTACCGAAGAAACTTATTGTTTCTAAGCTATTCTTCCTTCAAACTGTTATCGACGAGATTGAAAAATAAAGTAATTTCCGAAGTCGTCGTTGGCGTTGACATAAATTACAGAAATTCGAAAAACTTTTTTCATTTTGTTTTGCTATGTAACACAACTGGACATAAATTATTGTGAATTTCACTTTTATTCTGTAGTTTTTTTCATGGTTCTAATTTGACAGAATCGTTTTCTCTCCTTATTAAATTTGAAATTTCTTCATTTGGCAATGTCTTGACAGTCATTTGAAGTATTTTGTCTGCCTAAAGACGTTCAAACATTCCATCAATTTTTATTTTTCTCTCTTATATCTGACACATCTATTTATTCGCTCATAAAACGTTCAAACAAATCATTTAGGAATTGTGCGACCGAGTTTCGAGTAAGTGAATCAACAAATAATTACTGCAACTATTCTGCTAGGACTAAAGAAATAAACTATAAATGTTGCTTATTTAAATTCAGGATAAGTAAGAATACGATTTAACAACTGGTAAATAATATCTAAATGGCTTCTAATCAAATATGATTCATAATAGTACACTAATCATATATCACATAATAAATCTGAACATGTAAACTGTCATTAACTTCAAGGAAAAAAAATTTCACCTCGCAGATCTCCAGTTGCTTCGAATCAAACAATGTGGCTACACCAATTGGTACACTTCGTATATTGAAGAAAAAGAAATTGATCTATTCTTGATTTCGAAAAATACTTTCATTATTAAGGATTAAACTGTTGATAGTTTAAATCGATAGGTTCCGATATACAGATTATATTGCCGTGTCAAATTATAGATCTAAAATTTTTAATTTTAATCAATATTTCACCAATGAACAATACAACGATGGATTTGACTAATTTAATTACTGATGATAATCATACTTCGAAATTGATTGACCAATCATATTGCTCGATGTGGTACAAACAGATATGTCTTAAACACCAGATGAGCTTAAATTTCTATCAAATCATCCGATTCAAACTTTATTCTTTGGTCGAAGAAGATTTATGCAAGTTCCAATGATAAGAACTAGAAAATTTTATTATCAAAGTGTTTTGTAAGCTTTATTTAGATCACAAATGAAAGTAAAGAACTCAATCAGCTCTATGGTATGTCTCATCTTCGATTATAATAAGGAATATTAGTATTATTGAATTAGATTAGTGTTAACAATAAATTAAAATTAACAGTAAAAGTTACAAAGAGTAATTTCATGTCACCGTTTGAAATTAATCAATGAATAACTTATTCGTGAAATATTATTATTACTTTTCATCAGAGGACAAATAGTTGCAGATATGTGGGCGCAAAAAAATCCGTTGTATAGACAGAATGTTGCAATATCTCTAATGTTATATATTTATATAAGAGAAAATGACTTTGTAAAATATACTGTCGATAAATAACAAAAATCAAACAACAGAAGTTGATTATGCTATTCCTTATGTTTAATTGATAACAATTGACGCAAAACATGTTTTTTCCCTAAACTTCCTGTTGATCGAGAGTGAAATAAAATTGTTGTTTGATTTTTGTTATTTATCGATAGAATATTTTACAAAATTATTTTCTTCTATACAATTTCATAGCACCTGTCGATATTGCAGCATTTGGTCCGTGTGATAAGATTTTTGCGTTGACTCGTCTTGTTTCGAAAAGTTAGAGTTTGATGTTTTAGCTNGCAAAAAAATCCGTTGTATAGACAGAATGTTGCAATATCTCTAATGTTATATATTTATATAAGAGAAAATGACTTTGTAAAATATACTGTCGATAAATAACAAAAATCAAACAACAGAAGTTGATTATGCTATTCCTTATGTTTAATTGATAACAATTGACGCAAAACATGTTTTTTTCCTAAACTTCCTGTTGATCGAGAGTGAAATAAAATTGTTGTTTGATTTTTGTTATTTATCGATAGAATATTTTACAAAATCATTTTCTTCTATACAATTTCATAGCACCTGTTGATATTGCAGCATTTGGTCTGTGTGATAAGATTTTTGCGTTGACTCGCCTTGTTTTGAAAAGTTAGAGTTTGATGTTTTAGTTGATATATGAATGATATCTTTCAATGATTGATGATCAAATTATTTATCGTAGACGAAACAAAAGAAGATCATCATCTAGTAGACAAGTTTTTGTTTTATAATATTTTAATCAATTTAAGAGTTTAATTTATCTAATTTTTTTTCATAATTTGATATTGTTGATGTACAGTGTATAATTAGAATAATGTCATCTTTCTACGTTCAAAGAACAGTTTCTGTATATATTTCGAATAAATTCATACATTCTTTCAAAACAATTAGCTGATTTTATTCTTCTACTAACCATTTTTACTAATTGAAATCTTTACAAACAGAAATCAAATTAATTAAAATATTCAGAAATTTCTTAATAAACAACAAATTATCTATTTATGTACTATATGAACAGTATATAAACAATGTTAACATTATTCTTCTTTGTTTAGCAGCATAGTTAGAATAATATTTGACTTATATACTCATGCTCTTCATATAATTATTGTGTGCTGCTATTTGTACCTATTGTTGTCAATTGAGGTTTTTCTTTTCGGTAAATTCACCATCAATATATAAAACATGTTGTTCATGTCACTCTTTTACTTCTTCCTTTTTCGATGAAAGCGTCAATAAAATAAAAAATATTCACGTGAAGTTGAAAAATAAAGAGTATATATCATTAAAACAACGACAAGGCATGATGATTTACTTTTGAATAGAAATGATGAAACAAACACAAATTTACCTGACTTTCATTTACCTAGACTGATAATAATGTACCCTCCTTATTATCTGTTCCTTGATAAGTAGATTTGATAAAGACAAAAGATAAATACGGTTGAGTGTCATCAATTTATTTTAAGTATTTTCTTTTTTCTGAAATAATGAAAATCATTCTTCTTCTACTACTGCTGTTTGTATCAAAGTATGATGGTCGTTTGTTTCGATATCAGCGACGTCAACCATATACTCCACCACCGTCCGAAAATTATCGTGTCTCACCTAAAACTGGTATACGTATTGCTTTACCAAGTAAGTAGATTTTTGTGAATTTTAATATTTTATTTCATAAAATATTGTCTCTTAATTCAAGCACTTGAACAACTTCAATGGCAAGCTCAAGAAATAGGTGCATTAATTCATTTTAATATAGCGACATATATAGATGATGATGGATGTTTTGGACAATTTGTTCCAAATATTTCTTTATTCAAGCCATATCTATTAAATACAGACAATTGGGTTCAAACTATGGTTGATTTCGGTGCTAAATCCGCTGTACTTGTGGCAAAAGTAAAAAATTATTTTTTTAATAATTATGTATTTTTTTGTCTATTGATAATGACAGCATGCTTGTGGTTTTCATATGGCTCCAACTGATGTCAAATTTCCCTTGAGTCCTTCTGGTCAAATCATTCCATATAATTATTCAATTGACTATTCACCAATGAAAGGCGTAGATGTTCTTGACAATTTTGTTAAGAGTTGTGAGAAGAAACAAATCCAAACAGGATTTTATTATACTGTTGTCGCTAACAATTGGTTGAATGTACAAGATGGTTTAGTAAGTTCGTTTCTTTTTTTGTATGTTTTCATGTAACCTGTCAATTTACTTATTTGACATTCAGGTTCAAAACCATACATTAGAACCAGGCCAAGTTAATATTACACAAGAAACTTATGACAACATCGTGTTACAACAGTTAAGAGAAATTTGGAGTAGATATGACAATTTGAATGAAATTTGGTTCGATGGCGGGTTTGTTTTATCAAGACAAGATTGCTCAATTATTAATGTTTCTCTATTTCATATTCATATAGATATACATCGACAT